ATAGCGCGCCAGTACATCCCAAGCCTGGTCGGTGATATAATTATAATAATAGGATAACCCAAAGGAAAATGAGAAAGGAGGAATAGGAAACCAAATGGGATTAGATAAAGATCAAAGGAATTAGGATAATTAGAAGAATGAGGTAGAGGAAAAAGATGGAAATAAGAAAGAAGTGTAACGTGGTCGTACTCTCACAGTGCTAGCCTGACTCCGTTCTACATCCTTGTCTACGTAGACGACCTGGTCTTCGCTACTGCAGACTGAGACTTGCACTCGTCCAAATCTCGCATACCCTCTCAGCATCCTGGCTCGCTTTGTGGCCACAGGCAGACACCGACCACAGCACTGATCGGCCGCTAAGAGGGTTTTGCGTTAGCAAGTACATCGGGCATAAGGCCCGCACGTGCTGGTGCGGTATCTAGCAAGTACGCAGGTGCTGCACACCGTGCCGCCGCCGCCGCTACGACATGCCGTCGACGTTGCCACCTCGATTGCCGAGGGGTCGACCGGCTGGTCGGCACCACTGCTGCTGCAGGGAATGGGGGTGCAAGGATGTGGGGGTGCTGGGGGTGGGATGGGCTTGCCACTACCAATCCTAGGGGATGTGTTAAATTATATATTTTACAGATATAATTGTAGGCTTGGTAGTTGTGCTACTTAATGAATCCTACTGTAGAGGGGACAACCTTCCATTCCATAGCTTCCCTAGCTACCTCGTTACTTTAACAGGTACAACCCCCCTACTGTGCTGATGCATCAGTCTGTACTTGTAAATAAAGGCTGAAAAATCAGCCTAGGTATAGAAGATTTTGCTGAAAAATCAGCCTAAGGGTGAAAAAAAAAGGCTGAACAATCAGCATAGGTTATTATTAAATTAAATTAAAAAAACAGAAAAAAAAAACCAAAAAAATATTGAATCGTCGTAAAAAGACTGCAATTTGGGGGCCTGGCCTGGTGTAAAGAAGCGCAAAGAGCGTGTGTGAAAGGATTGAGTAACAAGGAAACAATAGAATTGAGACAACATTAAAATAGCAGGGAGCATGGGTATAGCTAGCCTAGAGCACACGATCGTGACTTGGCAGACCTGCGACGTGTGGTTCGTAAATTAGCACGAAACGCCAAAATCTATGCATAAATCAGCAAGGCGGTCAAAATGCACGCGGTTCGTCAGGAGGCCACATTTGGGTTCCGCGATTTGAATTTCGTAGCAGAGCTGCGCGGCAACCCCGTTATAGCAGTGTACGCCTTACTAACTAAAACACATGGTAAGGAAATAATATTTCCTTACAGAAACCGTAATCCCCCGGATATGGGCGCATCCCTTTATTTGGCCCACTGGGCTTTTGGAGTGCAAGCAGGGCCTCAGATTCGTTTAGAGGCACCCTGATTGCTCAGGGTCCCCCCACCTTGGTCTCCTGATTTTTCAGGCCTCTCCAATTTTTTTTCCCTGATCCATCAGGGTCCCTATAAATTTTCACGCTAAGTAACATGATTAGATACAGAAAGCACGCTGTGTAATATATGCCTATTATTATGCGGTAGCAGGCAGGGCCCAAATTAGCCAGGTGAAATGCCCTGATTGCCCTGATTTTTCAGGGCATTTTTTCATTTGGTCTTAAAAATCAGATTTACGAAATTTATTACCCTGATCCAAAAAGTGTTACGAAAATATTACCCTGCCGAAACTAGGGTTGCGGGGCCCCGAACCCTGACCCTTCAGGGTGTCCTGAAAACTACCCTGGTATCGAAACTCCGAGATTCCGACTAAGTCCTTGGTGGCCAGAAACATTTCCCCCACAACACCCTGCAACCCAAAAATTTCGACTAAGTCCCTGGCGGCCAGAGTCATTCCTCCCTCCCACCCCACGCACCATGCAAACCAGCAATTTCGGCTAAGTCGTAGCCAGAATCATAACTCCCTCACCCCCTCGCAACCCAAAAATGGCTAAGTCCCCTACAAGAGACTTGCCTCCCACCCACACCCCCGCTACTTTTTTCTTTTCTTTTTTTCGCTAAGTCCTCCACACCACAGCAAGACACGTCACGTCGTATACGCCCTTCTGAAACCCAACCAATCACGAGCAGGTGGTTTTTTTCCCGCCCCTCTGCCGCCCATGTAAATCTGATTCCCCTCTCGCGCCCCAGAATCGTTTTCCGTCCCATCCCCCAATCTCCCCTAGCACGCGCAAATCCGCTACAGAATACACTTCTTTCCACATCTCAGTGCTGCCCACTTCATTCATGTAAAATGTTCCTTAAATGGCCAAGGTTAGAAAGGGTGCAAAGAGTTCTACACTTAAAGCAAAGACTTCGAAAAAATTTACCCTGCCAAATAAGACTTCGATTTTTTTTTAGCTCTGACCGTCAGGGTATTTTTTTTTTCCTACTCTGATTTCAAAGAGTGGCCTAAAACCAATTTTGGGCCCTGGTAGCAGGGTTCTCAATGGCAGTAGGCGCAGAGGGACCAAGGCTATGTTTATGCTCTGAAAGTACGACCGCGTCGGAAACAAAAATGGACGGTCGCATTCAAGTCGGCGGGATTGACAAGGGGCGGTTGGGGAAACTCACGGAAATCACGGGTGGAGGGGTGGGGGCTGCGAATCTGCTATTACACGAATCTGGACAAACAGGGCTCACTACACTAGTAACGCTGATCGATCAGAGTTCACTCCTAAAAAAAGAAGAAGAAATTTCAGGCCAGTGTCTTTAAAAAATCCTGCCTCATCAGGGTCACCCCCCAAAAAAGCCCTCATTTTACCTTGAATCAGGGTTAAAATCCTGCAATCTGAGGCCCTGAGTGCAAGTGCGCCTATATCCGTTATTTGATTACAAGCGCACCCTTATTTTTGAAAATGTATCTCGTATAGGCACTTTTTATTTCTGTAAAACAATCGGGAAAACATGGATTTTTCATATCGAAGTTTAAGCCATGACCCCCCTAGCCCCTCCCAAACCAGAAGCGCAATGTTCGCTCCCTGCCTTGGCTCTGATTGGCTGGAAAATTCATCCCATTGCAGGATGGATTTGCTGGCATTTCCTCATGTTTTGTCAACATGCCACCCAGGAGAAACAAACGCGCTATAACGCAAGTGTAAATAGCTACATTTTTATGTGCTCAAATTCGTTTTCCATGAAATCCCTTAGCCTTGGGCATATAATTTTTCTTTGATTATAAGCGCATGCGACTTTTGCCAGGTATTTCTTAAAGCCCTTTGCGCCTATATTGGGGGGATTACGGTATCAATCCACCTTACAGAGACTTTGCGTGGTTTCGTGAGATCAAGTGGTTTCCGTTGTGGCATCATTGTGGAGGTCTGTTTTGTTTGGCGCGAAATGAGGCCGTTTCCCTCATGTCAGCTAGTCTCGGCGAGCTGCCAAGCCGCTATCTCGTGGCCAAATTGGAATCTGGGGGGTTTGTTCGGTTTGGGTCTTGGGCAAACCAAATCATGCGACACCCATCCTTCAGCCAGTTTCATCCTTTGTCGAGGAAATCGCGCGCTTTGACGAAAACCACGAATGTTTCAAAACGGTCGACCCCCCCCCCCCCCCCCCCGACTGTACCCGCTTTCGTTTTAATATGCCAAATATTGGAAATGTAATTTTGGATCGCTGTGAAAGCATTTGCCGGATCCCAATTCAATTGTTGCGCGAACATGCATTTAATGGGTCGTGAAAAAAATCTACTTATGCTTCCCTGTCCCCTGCACCTCGCGTGAACGCACGTATTGGAGTCATCTGACTCTCGCAAGTGTTGGGGCTTACGTTTGGTTTTTGGGGCACCCGTCATATTCGGGTATCTGGCCAAAGCTACTTGTCAAAATCCACGTTCAGCACTCTATTTTGTCAAAATTCACCCGTCTAATCCGGGTTTCACATCCAGTTCTTCCAAAATTCACTCGTCAGAATTTGGGTTTAAACCCTGTTTCTAGAAAAGTTCCCCGTCGGAACCCGAGTTCAGCGAAAATTTTACCCGCTATTTTGGCAAAATCCGGGCGTTGTACCTAAAATGATTGCACATGCCTTTTTCAAATGCTGCAGCCCTTAAAGCGAGAGGCTATAATAGTGTCCCCTCTTTCTAGTTGGGCCCAACTAGAAACGACCCTTGAGTGAATATTTTGCTTCGCGCCGAGCAGCAGCCCGGATCTTTTTGCTTGCCTTGGGCCACGAAATCGAATTGCACCTGCGACGGGAATGTTATCGTGACAGATCGTACGACCATTCGCATGAGTAGACAATAATTTCGACCAATCGGCACCTAGTCTTGGTTTAGCAGGAGTAGTGAGTGAATCCGGGTCCAACTTGAAATTCAAGTTGGGCCCACTTGGTTCAACTTGTGGGCAGTGGGGACTGTGCAACTAGTCGCTCGCTATTTGCGACTTTAGTTTCCCGCCAACCAAACGAAATGGGGTTTTGCGCCAACCAATCAAGTAACTGCTCATGCTCGTGCTGTTTCCCCTGCTCGCATGTCTCGACAGTGAACCCCTCTGCAGTTTGTCCCTTAGTCGCTACAACGAACTTCTAGGCCCTTTCAAGTTGGACCCGCTTTTATTATTTTGACCACTAGCTTTAATGTGTGGTCATTGTTTGTCGTATTACTCCTTATTGGACCCTACATATGCTGCCCAAACCAGTTGCCCCAAAGAAACGTAGTGGCATCTGAGCCCAACACGAAAACGGGTACAGTTTGGGGGGTCGACCGTTTTGGGTAACTGGGGCATGCCATACATCGCGCGCAAAAAGAGTCGACCGTATTAAATCATTCTTGATTTTCTTCGAGGAGCGCTATCTCCTCTCCTTCACCCCTCGTCTCATGCATCCGAAGTAAAACAGATCGTGATGTTCACGGGGGTCACAGGAAGGTACAGTACGGTGTCTGCGGATTTCGGAACGGTTGGATAGCCAAAAACTGTCGGTTCCGCGGCGTCCCGAAACCAACACGCCACTTCGGACACCCCCTTAACGAGTTGATAGGAGTACGTTTCTCTAATTTGATTGCCTACCGAGCATTCTCTAATTTGATTTGCCTGCCTTGGTAATGCACTTCTCCACATCGCCGCAAGTTTCGGCTGCACGGTGCCCACTCCGTGCTTCCCGCACCTCCCTCCCGTTCTCCCCCTTTCTCCCCGGCGATGTGCTGCTGCGCACCCTGAACGGCCCTCTCTGCTCGCTCTGCTCCTTTCCTCGCCGCGTCTGGCGCCTGGCCGCGGGCAGATCGCGGGAGTGATGGAGGCGAGACCCAGCGGCGGCCCGCCTGTGCACGGCGAGGCGCGGGGCGGCGGGGTGTCAGAAACCGAGCTGATGATGCGGATGGCGGGCGTGCTGACGACCGCGCAGATGGCGCTCGCGCAGATGGGCGCGCTGTGCCGCGCCGCCGCTGGTGGGTGAAGGGTAGAGAGAGAAGCCTTGTGGTGGGGGAGAGAAGCCTCGCGGGTGCTTGCGGCTTGCTGGTGGGAGCCCAGGCTGCGTCTTGTCTGAACGCAGCGTCAATGGTTTCGGCCTTGCGCTTGTTCTGCGCAGTGCCTCTTCGCTGTCGCGCTTCCTTCGCGGATCTAGTCTGGCCGTTCGGAATGCCTCTCCCGTCAGGGTTTCGGGGTTCGGGTTTCGGGTTTAGGTCCCTTCGCTTCATATCTTCTTAATTTCAAGCGCCCTAGGTTTTTCGCCACTCCCCTCCTCCCGCCTGTTTCCTACCCCCCTCCTCATCCCCCCCACCCCCCATTCCGCCGTTTCGCCTTCCCCCTTTTCCCCTTCCCCGTACCTCCGTTATCATCCTCCCCCGTTCCCTCCCCCCCCCACACCCTCCCTCCCCCCCCCACTCCCCCTCCCCTCCTCTTCCCCCCCCCCCTCCTCCCCCTCGCCCTCGCCGTTCTCCGCGCTTTCCGTTCCCCACCAGACGGCGCGGAAATCCCCGCGTCCGCCATGGGCGGGGTGCTGGCGGACCTCGCCGCGTTCTCCTCCGCCGACCCCGCGCATCTCGAAGCCGTCGCGCGCGCCATGGACGCCCACTCGCCCGCCGACGCGACGGCTGCGACGGCTGCGTCGGCTCCCTCCAATATGGCCGCGCTCGTCGGCATCGTCGCAGCTACCTTCGCGAATGCATCGCCCGCCGTGGATGCTGCGACTGCTGCGACTTCTCCCGTGGCTCCCCCCACGGCTGAGCCGGCAGGGAGCGGTGAGAGTGCAATGCGCGATGATGCGGAGGAGGAGGCGGAGGAGGAGGTAGAGGGGGAAGCGGAGGAGGAGGCAGAGGGGGAAGCGGAGGAGGAGGCAGAGGGGGAAGCGGAGGAGGAGGCAGAGGGGGGAGCGGAGGAGGAGGTAGAGGGGGAAGCGGAGGAGGAGGCAGAGGGCGAAGCGGAGGAGGAGGCAGAGGGGGAAGCGGAGGAGGATGTAGAGGGGGAAGCAGAGGAGGAGGTAGAGGCACAAGAAACGGTAGTGGTGGGGGATGGGGAAGAGGAGGTAGGCAACGACGAAGGAGTAGAGGAGGGTGAAGTGGACGAGGAGGAGGAGGAAGAGGAGGAAGAGGAGAAGGGAGAGGGGAAGGAGGGAGGGCATGGGGGGGGTGCAGCAGTGGGTGAGGAGGAAGAAGAGGCTGAGCGGGCAGAGGAGGCGACGGAGGCCCACAAGGGCGAGGAGGAGGAGGAGGGTGAGAAGGAGGGTGAGAAGGAGGGTGAGAAGGAGGGTGAGAAGGGGGTTGAGAAGGGGGTGAGCAGGAGGGTGAGAAGGGGGGTGAAGAGGAGGGTGAGGAGGAGGGTCAGAAGGAGGGTGAGAAGGGGGTTGAGAAGGAGGGTGAGAAGGGGGGTGAGAAGGGGGGGAGAAGGGGGTTGAGAAAGGGGGTGAGCAGGAGGGTGAGAAGGGGGTTGAAGAGGAGGGTGAGGAGGAGGGTGAGAAGGAGGGTGAGAAGGAGGGTGAGAAGGAGGGTGAGAAGGGGGGTGAGAAGGAGGGCGAGAAGGGGGGTGAGAAGGAGGGTGAGAAGGGGGGTGAGAAGGAGGGTGAGAAGGGGGGTGAGAAGGAGGGTGAGAAGGGGGTGAGAAGGAGGGTGAGAAGGGGGGTGAGTGCAACCAGGGGGATGTGGTTGAAGCTGCTGGTGCGGATGCTGACATGTCACTGGGCGCTGCTGACAAGGTGGGCGAGACGGATTTGAGCAGGGGGGCTGCGAGGGCGAGTGGCAAGAGGAAGAAACGGAAGCAGGTGATGCCGGTGGCAGACGCATCCTGGGCCGTCACCAGCCAGGCCTCTGCTGCCCTCACCACCACGCAAGGTGCTGCTGGTGCCGCCAGTGCAAGTGCAGTGAGTGGGGAAGGAGCGCGTGGTGCTGCGGGCAAGCACTCCAAGAGGAGGAGGATGAAGAAAGTGCTGTGAGGCAAACTGGGGGATGCAGGGTGTTAGAGCTAGGAAGACTACCAGGTACCGTATTCGCCTGGATAGAAGGGTCTTGTCCAATACCCCCTAAGAATTTGGAGGTTTCTCTTATAAACGGAAGGAATAAGGGGTCATAATTCTTATAAACGAACTCTCTTAAGTATAACGAAAAAATGCATGTTTAGTGTCCTATTATTGCCTCACGTCACGTCCATATCGAGTTGTGGGCCAACAGGATTGTTGCGGTTTGGCCACAATCATTACGTCATAGTGCGCTTGCGGGAAAATTTCTGCCTGCGCAATTTCTGGCAGCGAATTTTGGACCATTCTTGGCCAGCTGCGGTAGCATTGCGCCAGCAAAATCCGAATACACGACCCAGGGAGGGTCATATTGTCAACTTATACATATTAGCTATGTAGAAATTATAGGCTAGACTGAGGTATGCTTCTAGTGAGTAAAACCAACTTGTATTTGTTCTAGGTTTCCACTTCTAGTCTATCATTCAGTTCTCACTTTAACATGGTATCACACGTAGGTTAGAATCCCCCACCTACCGCTTCCGCCCGTACCCTACCGCTTCGCGCCCGCTCGGCCCCGTCGCGCCCCGCCTGGCCCCGTCGCGCCCTGCCTGGCCCCGTCGCGCCCTGCCTGGCCCCGTCGCGCCTGCCTGGCCCCTCCGCGGCTGCCTGGCCCTGCCGCGCCTGCCTGGCCCCGCCGCGCCTGCCTGGCCCCGCCGCGCCTGCCTGGCCCCGCCGCGCCTGCCTGGCCCCGCCGCGCCTGCCTGGCCCCGCCGCGCCTCCCTGGCCCCGCCACACCTGCCTTGCCCCGCCGCGCCTGTCTGGCCCCGTCGCGCATGCCTGGCCCCTCCGCGCCTGCCTGGCCTTGCCGTGCCTGCCTGGCCCCGCCGCGCCTGCTTGGCCCTGTCGCGCCTGCCTGGCCCCGCTGCGCCTGCCTGGCCCCGCCGCGCCTGCCTGGCCCCGCCGCGCCTGCCTGGCCCCACCGCGCCTGCCTGGCCCCGCCGCACCTGCCTGGCCCCTCCGCGCCTGCCTGGCCCCGCCGCGCCTGCCTGGACTCGCCGCGTCTGCCTAGCCTCTCCCTCTGCCCGCCCGGCCCATCTTCGTGCCTCCTCGTCCTGCGGTGCCGCCTCGGGCTCCATCTACTCTGCTTGCCAGTGCTGAGGCGCCTCACGGCCGCCGTGCTGGAGAGTGCTGTCGCCGTGTCCCTGTGTCGCTGTGTTCCTGTGGAGTTGTGCCGCTGACCCTGCACGATGGCTGACTTCGTGCTCCGACTGGACGCCGAGGGCCATGCGGTTGACTTCGCCGCCTTGCTCTCCGATCTCCGCCGCCACCTTACAGGTCAGCGCCAGGATGGCCACTCTTTGGTTGTCCATATCGACGGCTTGCTCCCCCGCCCCCCCGCACCTGCTCTCCTCCCTGCTGACCCCTCCTCTGATGACTGTGAGACGTTCTCTACTGCTGCGCTTGCCCGTGCGGTCTGGGACTCCCACGATGCAGTCGCTCAGGTTGCTATTAGCCACGCCCTCCCTGTGTCTGAGCGCTCACGCTTTGCTAGTATTGAGACGACCAAAGCTTACTTAGACGCCGTTATTGCTTGCTATTCCACACCCGCGTCTGCTTCTGCTGGCCGCCTGCTCTTCCCTATGCTTTTCCCAGACCTTGCAGCCTTCCCTACCGTTGCAGACTTTGCCACTCACCTGCGTGCCCTAGAGACCCGCTATCGCACTGCCAGCACTGCTGCCCAGCTCACTGCGCTCCCCCCCCCTTTCTGCATGACGCTCTATTTTATCGCCATGCGCCTTCTAGACCGCCTCGCTAGTGCTCGCGATCACTTCCTTAGCCAGCACCCGGGTGACCTCACCCTCACCGCCTTTGTCGATACCCTCACCGAGATCGAGACTCGCCAGCGCACTATCGCTCAGTCGAGCGGTGCGCCGGCAGTCTCTATCTTTCACGGATGTGCCCCCTCCCAGTGCACGTTCACTGACGTTTTGGCTGCGGTCGCCACGGCGACCCCTCTCACCGAGACGGCTGCTGCAGTCCACCCGCAGCAGCGCTCGCGCCGCGGTGGCCGTGGTCGCCAGGGAGGTAGGGGTGGTGGCGCAGGTGGTGGTGGTGGTGGTGACGGTAGTCCGCCTCGTTCTCGAGGAACCTGGTTGGTGTCGGCTGTTTCCAGGACCTCGGCGTCACCACCACTTTCCCCGGGCACGAGCGGTTCGCTGTCTGTTCTGAGTCTGTCTCAGGTTCCCTTCTTGCGACGTTCCCCCGGGACCCGGTGTCCGGTCTGTTTACCCTAGACACCGCTTCCCCCCCGGTTGGTGTGTCCTCCCAGGTCGCTGCAGCTTGCTCGTGTCGGTCCGTCACTCACCCGTCCCTTCTCTGGCACCACCGCTTAGGTCACCCTGCTCTCCCGCGTCTGCGTCACATGTCCCAGCACGGTCTTGTCTTAGGTCTCCCCGCGTCGCTCCCTGCCCTTCCTCCCTCGACTGCGCCACCGTGCACGCCTTGCGTCGAGGGTCGGCTCCGCCGTGCTCCTCACTCCTCCTCGCTGCGCCTTGCGACTGCCCCCTTTCAGACCCTGAACCTGGACGTTTGGGGCCCTGCCCCCGTCCCCGGACCACGCGGTGAGCGCTACTTCCTTGTGCTCGTCGACGACTACACGCGCTACACCACGGTGTTTCCCCTGGAGCGGAAGGCCGACGTGCCCGACGTTCTTCTCCCGTGGGTTGTGGCTGCGCGTCTCCACCGCGGTTTCCCCGTGTTGTGTCTCCACTCTGACCGTGGCGGCGAGTTCGCCTCTGGTCGGCTTGAACAGTTCTGTCGTGCGGAGGGCATCACCTAGTCGTACACCTTGCCGGACTCGCCACAGCAGAATGGGGTTGCTGAGCGCCGCAACGACTTGGTCATGGAGGTTGCTCGTACCTCCATGATTCATGCCGATGCCCCCCATTTTCTGTGGCCGTTCGCTGTTCGCTCCGCTGCTCACCAGCTTAACTTGTGGCCACGCTCCCAGCGGCTGCAGGTTTCGCCGACCCTCCTTTGGACCGGGTCCCCCGGTGACGCGTCTGCGTTCCACGTCTGGGGCTGCCTTGCTCACGTTCGTGCCTCTGGCACGGACAAGCTCACTGCCCGCACTGTCCCCTGTGTCTTCCTCGGTTTTCCCCTGGACTCGTCTGACAGGCTTTTCTACCACCCGCCGTCTCACCGCTTCCTCCACTCTCGTGACGTCACCTTTGACGAGTCTGTCCCCTTCTACCGTCGCTTCCCTCACCGAGGTCTCCCGGTTGCCCCGCCCCTGTTCCTGGCTCCCTCTCCCCCGGTAGCCCCTGCTCCTCTCCCGCCTCGTCCTGCCCCGTCTGGTGTCTCTCACGTCACTCCCCTCCCGTCGGTTGTCCCTGTTGAGGAGTCTGCTGACTCTAGTAGTCCCCCCGGCCCGTCCCTGCCGTGTCCCCCTTCCCCGGTGTCTCCGCCTTCCCTGCCGCAGTCGCCGTCGCCGCCGCCGCTGCTGCCGTCGCAGTCGCAGTCACCGCCACCGCCGTAGCCGCCGTCGCCGCCGCCGCCGTTGCCGCCGTTGGCCTCTGGTGGTGATGGCGTTGATGTGGGTGTTCGTCCGGCGGTTCCCGGGGGTGCCGCTAGAGTTGGAGGGGGTTCTTGCTCTGGGGGTGTTTGTTCTGGGGGTGCTGCTGTTGAGGGTTCCGCCGCCAGTCATCCTGCCTCTGCTGGTCCGAGGGTTCCGGCCCAGCTGTCGCAGCATCCGTAGCAGCCGTCGCCGCCGGTCTCCGCTCTCCGCTTGCTCGGCCTTCCCTCCCCATACCGCGCGCCGGTGTCTCCCCCACCGCCTGCTGACCTTCCTGTCTACGGTCCTGTGTTCCCGCCGCCGGACTCGTCTGCGGCCCGTCTTCCTCCTCGTTCCCCTCCTATGTCCCCTCCGCTGTCCCCTAACCCTACACCTCCGTCTCACGTTTGGGCTCGCCGTCCCTCCCGTGCTCATCCCGTCTCTCCTGTCCTGCCCACCCACCCTATGTTGCTCCGTTCCCGCTCGTCTCGTCCTCCCCTCTTCCCGTCCCCTCCTCCCTCGTCCCTTGCTGTTGCACCTCCTCCGTTCTCTGACTACCTTCGTGCCGCTCGTCCCCTTGTCCCTCGGGTCCTTGCCTCTCTTGTTACCGACCCTGCTGTTCATGTCTCGCGCTTTGACGCGCTTGTCGCTGCTGTCGCTGACTTCGCCTCTACCTACTGCCTTGACTACGCTACCACTCTGGTCTCTGACCTTGCCCGTCCTCCGTCCGTCGGGGGTGCTCCTGCCCTTGGCACTGACGTCCTAGAGGACAAGCAGTACGAGCTTGCTTTCCTTTCCGAGGCTGCTCCCCATCTCTGCTCCATGCTGTTAGTCCCTGAGGGTGACCCAGACGCCTTCGACATCCTGACCCCTCGCACCTACGCTGAGGCCACCTCGGGACCTTGGGCCTCTCAGTGGATAGCTGCCATGGAGCAGGAGATGGCATCTTGGAGGTCCACCGGCACTTACGTGACGCAGTTCCCCCGTCTGGGGTGAACGTAGTCGATGGTCGGTGGCTCTTCAAGGTGAAGCGCCCCCCTGGAGAGCCACCTGTCTTCAAGGCGCGCTACGTGGCCAGAGGTTTGAGTCAGCGTGAGGGGGTTGAATTCTTCCAGACCTTCGCCCCGACCCCGACGATGACCACTCTTCGGGCGCTGCTACACGTAGCAGCACAGCGCGACTACGAGCTTCTCTCCCTCGACTTCTCTACTGCCTTTCTTCAGAGCATCCTACACGAGCAGGTCTACCTGCGCCGACCACAGGGCTTCACTGGTACCTTCCCCCTTGGGACCCAGTGGCTTCTCAGGCGCCCGATCTACGGCCTGCGTCAGGCTCCCCGCGAGTGGCACGACACGCTGCGTGCCACGTTAGCGGACCTGCAGTTCTTTCCGTCCTCTGCTGACCCTTCACTGTTTGTGCGTTCCGGCCAGACTCCGTTCTACATCCTTGTCTACGTAGACGACCTGGTCTTCGCTACAACTGACAGGGACGCACTGGCCTCAGTGAAGGCTGAGCTGCTGAAGAGACACACCTGCACTGACCTTGGAGAGCTGCGTCGCTATCTTGGCCTGCAGATCTCTAGGGACAGAGCAGCATGCACCATCACTCTGACAC